CCAGACAACGCTTTGGCTGCTGGAAAGGAAGCTACCCCAATAGAACACCAGAGAAAGCCGATCAATAAAGGAAGTCCATTGATTAGCTTAGACCCAGAGCTGCGTGATGGACTCTTAACAGTTGGTGGCAGGCTTCGGCATGCATCAATCCCCGAAGCTGCCAAACACCAGCTGATTCTGCCAAAGGACCACCACATTTCCACTCTGGTGATCAGACACATCCACCAGAGAAGCGGACATCAAGGGAGAAATCACATCCTAGCGGAACTCAGACAAAGGTACTGGATACTCAAAGCTGGTGTAGCAGTCAGGAGCGTAATACACCAATGCGTCATATGCCGAAAGTACCAAGCTGGACCCGGTAAACAGAAGATGGCTGATTTGCCAGCTTACCGTGTACGGCCTGATGCCCCACCATTCACATATACTGGAGTGGACTATTTCGGCCCATTCGATATCAAGTATGGGCGAGTTATCAGAAAGAGATATGGTGTAGTATTCACCTGCCTTACTAGCCGTGCTATTCACATTGAGGTGGCCGATTCCCTCGACACCAGCTCATGCATCAGTGCACTCAGACGATTCATGGCTAGGCGTGGCAAAGTGAAAGAAATCCACTCAGACAATGGATCCAACTTTGTTGGAGCCCACAAAGAGCTCCAGCGAGCAATGCAGGAGTGGAACCATGGCGAAATCAACAATTTTGCCTTGCAGCATGACATCAAGTGGCAGTTCAACACACCAGCAGCCTCTCATCATGGAGGTGTGTGGGAGAGGCAAATCAGAACAATACGTAAAATTCTCCACGCCATATTGAGTGAGCAGTACATGAAGACGTGCCAAAGTGAGGAACAGTTGCGCACCTTCATGTGTGAGGTCGAGGCTGTAATTAACAGCCGACCCCTGACACGAGCATCGGATGACCCTCATGACCTGAGTGTCATCACGCCGAACAGTCTGATACTTCTGAAACCTGATTCAACACTGCCACCTGGAGTCTTCTCCCAGGAGGACCAGTACTCACGAAGGAGATGGCGTCAGATGCAGTACATGGCGGATGTCTTCTGGAAGAGGTGGACTAGAGAGTACCTACCTACCCTACAGCAACGCCAGAAATGGTCCCAACCTAGCAGAAACATAGAGAAGGGTGATGTTGTGCTCATCGTTGATAACAGCGCCCCGAGAAACTCCTGGCCAATGGGACTTGTTCAGGAGGTATTCATGGACAAACGAGGACACGTACGCAGTGTTAAAGTGAAGACCAAGACTTCAGTTTTGGTCAGGCCTATTACCAAGCTGTGTCTGCTTCTAGAGCAGGACGTCGAGTAATCATCAAGACTTGAACTCTTAGGGAAGGTATGCAGATGTCCGTCAAGTGGACATCTCAGGGGAATAGACTCCCCTGCCTTGCATAGTCTCAGGTCACCCTTGGGCAAGGTGTAGTACCTGTTTGCCTCCCGAACCAGGGTTACGGTCTGATGAATCCTCATCTGTCAACTTTACCGGAATAGTGAAAACTACAGTGACAATACCTTGCTTACCAGGAGAACCGGAACCCGCTGTACATGCATCGAAACATGGACTGTGATTTGGTGACTTCATCTCGGCAGATCACTTGAACAGTTTATTCATTCTGATTTGTGTTAAGTTTCAAACCATTTTCCAAAATATTTGAACGTCAGTGATCGTATGAACTTCAAAGTATGGACAGTAGAATACGAACTTTCGACTACGCAGAATTGGCCAAGTCACATTTAGCGGTCAAATTTATTTAGTGGTTCATAAGTTTATAAGTAGTTTGTTGTAGTTTAGAGTTTTACTAATAGTTCTGAGATATTGGAAACTAGAATTGTTATCGCCCTTTATCAGTGCGACTGGGGCCGGAATGTAGTTTCCAGAATCTCGCCCTTATATGTTAATCAATGTTTACAACTGTTACCCTTTAACCTTTAGCCCCACCGTGAATAGTTTAACCTTGCCCGCACTTCATTTGCATAGAAAGCATGGTCGCGCACAGTATTATGGGGCGATTTTACGACCTCATGTTTCTAGCGTTTTCTCCGTGGAGCTGATACCTATCTTTTACCGTACTCGTACAACTGAATTCCGTCCAAACTTGAAGGAGTTTCAAGCTGAAAAGGATTCTAAAGATACCACCAGAGTTTTCTCATGCTTGTGAACATTTCAGTGCGATCCAGGTCGCTGTGATAACTGTGTGATTATAAGAGGTTTCCGATCCGAACTTCGTGAACTTTTGTGCATGTTGTGAACGACTCTGTGAGTAACGATCCCTTTGTACTCCAATATTTGGTGGAATAAAGTGAACAGATTTCATTGATTATAGAACTATAGAAGTACGCGTAAAGAATATCAGTTTTCTTTGACTTAGTGTCCACGGTCGCTACACACGCACCTGTGCTTGATCATAAAAGAAGGCAACTTTTAGAATTGTACAATTGTCCTTTTGCAATGCAATGGGTCTATACGCACACCATTGGCAATCATCATCATTCATCATTTCCATTTAATGTCCATTTTCCCACGCTGTGGGGTGAGACATTGTCTTTCCTTAACGGCCCTGTTCCATGCAGTCTAGATTTCTGACATCCACAATGGCGAGGTTTGACAGTCTGAGGTCTCTGCCAGTGTCTCATCCCAGGTCTTTCGTGGCCTGCCTCTTGGTCTAGGTTCAACTCCATGCAGGAAATTTACCTAGACCAGATATTAATGTACGTGTGCACCACGTACATGTACATTCACATCTACCTTTTCACCTTGGTTTATAAAGTCAACTACGTGACAGGAATTCCTTTTGTCCTGTTACCGGTATACGTGCACCTGTACATATCATGCAAATGTCCTATTGTGTATGTACCGGTACATGCAGTTCAAACAGGGACGATGGCAACATTTTATTAACCACCAGATTGGGTACCAATTGGGTGCACCAATTCAAACTGCTCAGCTGCACCCCTCATACAGTGTACAAAGTCCATGTACTCAAGTGCTTGCATGTTGAATATAGACCAAGGTTTTTTTTTAAATGAGTTAATTGATAGGCATGCATTGGCAGATCCAGGCGATAAAAATACAGGCAGACAACAGAGAAATGAGTGATACCGGTACAACGCCTCCTTTTCTCTTCTATATCTTCAATTAATCTGAATCTGTCCCTTAATCAGCCACGATTTAAATGTTTTACGCAGGATTCGTCATGTTGTCCAATGAAAAAAGAACAGCAAACAAACCTGGGAGAAATGATACTGTACATACATATTTTGAAATTTTAACAAAAAAAATCACAGTAAGTCTAATTTGAATCCTCATTCAGTGCTACCCTATAGGCTTCAACTAGTTTATCTCTTTATAAACAAAACTAAAACTCATGTGAAATCTGAGCAAGTCTGTAACCTTGTCAGCAGTGACTACACTACAGCTACGGTACACTACACAGTTCTTTCCTTGTCCACAAGCCCAGGGCTTCCATTCATTATTTCCATCTCTGACCACAGAGCCTTGCTTTGGGCCACAGTTAATATTTTTGATCACTCTGCCATTTGGGAGGATGATTGCTGGGACTGTAAGTGACCAATGGCCTAAAGCCTGTGTAAACTCTGCGCGTAATGTGAGCAGACTTATAATGGTGCTTGCCTGAAATGCACACCAGCAGCTCCCAGATTAACCAGAGGGGTTCCAGCTGGGGTGTAATAGTCCAAGACTTTCAAAAAAGACTTTCAGGGGGGGGGGGGAGGTGGGGGGGGGAGCTGAAGAAAAGTTGCAGTCAGTGTATAAAGACCGAAGGTCTGAGGCGATGAATCAAGATTTTCAAATACTAAGTTATGACTTTATCCAACAAACTTAATATATGGAAATTTGGGATTTATACAAATTATTTGAGTTGAATATTGGGTGGTTTTGGGCGGTACAAGGAGTAACAGGCATGGTGGTTTTGGGCAGTGCAGGGAGTAACACACAGGGCAGTTTTGGGTGGTACAGGGAGTAACAGACAGGGCAGTTTTGGGTGGTACAGGGAGTAACGGACAGGGCAGTTTTGGGTGGTACAGGGAGTAACACAGGGCAGTTTTGGGTGGTACAGGGAGTAACAGACAGGGCAGTTTTGGGTGGTACAGGGAGTAACACACAGGGCAGTTTTGGGTGGTACAGGGAGTAACGGACAGGGCAGTTTTGGGTGGTACAGGGAGTAACACACAGGGCAGTTTTGAGTGGTACAGGGAGTAACAGACAGGGCAGTTTTGGGTGGTACAGGGAGTAACAGACAGGGCAGTTTTGGGTGGTACAGGGAGTAACGGACAGGGCAGTTGTGGGTGGTACAGGGAGTAACAGACAGGGCAGTTTTGGGTGGTACAGGGACTAACGGATACATGTACGTATTTGGCTCACAGCTTTGAAATAATATACATTGTAATCTGCCATGAAATTCAAACTGAATATTCAAATGAGTTGGCAGCAGAATCCTGAACACATTTCATTTGCGGTCAATTCTGGAAACACACTACTGACTGTGGTTTCAGTTTGGATTTCCTAAGACAAATATGTGGTTGCCATTTCTGGATAATCTATGAGGTTTAAATGGTCATTGATACATTTCAAAGAACAGAAACTGGAACAGGATATTCTGTGTCTGGTTTTCAACAAAACTAAGGGAGAATGTGTAATTACCAGGACAAAGATTGGCAAAGTGAAGTGGATATTTATTATGTTTGAATGGAACCATACAAAATGAAGGAAAAAAACAACCTTAATACCCATGCGTTAATATGTGGGGTTTTTTTTTGGGGGGGGGGTGTCACAGGCTAACCTGCAAGCATTTTGTAATCATGTAATCTGAAAAGAACCGGTTGGTTGAGTGTAGAACTCAACTACATTCAACCAACCGGTTCCTTCCAGAACCACACTTCTTCCAAGAAGACATTTCTTTCCACATGGTGTTACCCGCAATTAACCGCTACGGACTGTCTGGTTGAAGATGACAAACTTACCTTAGACCATTGCATGTGCTCAGGGCAACACTTGATACATTCTTGCCTCTGACTTCTCCATGGTAATAGCAGTGATGCTGCCAAAGGGGATAACAACAAGATAATACACAATTTAAATAAAATTAAAAATGAATGGGTTTTGCCCTTAACAAAAAACAAATTTATAAACTCTGAATAGTGCATTTTAATGATTCAATTGCTATATTTCCCGGGTTTCCAGCATGTTTTTGGCAACGCCCATGCCGCATTGCCCTGATCCTGAATCAGATGGTGTCCCAAATCGGAACAGTCTTTACACTCCTAGTTCGAATTTGGCCCCACTTTGAATGGCTCAGTGCGCGTCATGTGCTGCATGTCGATAAAGGGGAAGAGGGGGGTTCGGGGAGGGGGAAGTTGGGGGGGGGGGGGGTCGTGGTTCCGATTTGGGATATTATCTGGTTCAGGATCAGGCCAATGTGGCATGGGCATTGTGAAATTGAACCTTGTACAGTCGTATTGATAGTGAATCATTTTCAAGATTGAAATCCTTTTTGATTTGGGAGATTTTGAAAAGGGGCAAGTAGGAGTTACATTCCATCATGGCTTGATCTTGTCGAGCGACTGTGTTTAAAGGGCTTGAACGTAAGTCGAAGGGGTCGTGGGTCGACGGAAATCATGGGTTGTGGGGGTCGAGGGGGTTTTAGAACAACCCAAGGTTTTACAGGAGTGATGAAGGTAAAGCCGATCCACTTTACTGCACATGGGTCTTGATGCCTCTCGAAAGTTTGAGCTCAAAGAACCGGGTAGTGGAATTTTTTGGAAGATTTTGGACTTACTAATCTGTGAGGTTTCCTGGTCAGTAGCCGGCCATCTGGTAAGTAGGAGCGCTGGATGTATCGGGCAGGAAACAGGTCTCTGGAAAAGGAAAAGACAGACAAAACAATGAAGCACCGGGCAAGGCTATCGCCGTATCGGCTGCAAAACTGACAACCAGGTTTCCAGCGTGATCATGAAAAAAAGAACAAAAAACAGTAAAGGAAGCAGTATAAGTGACAGTCATATTTGCTGTATTTCCTTGACATTTGTAAAAAAAAATTCCATTAATTATGCAAACAACTGATTTATACATCCTGCAATGCATGATAAATTGTCCCATGCCACACACCCAGCATAACACCGCTGCACTACAGAATAGCCATCACTTGGGCTTGTGTACTCTGAATTCCCACATCAAACCTGTGCAAGAAGTCAAGGTTGTTGAGAGTGCTGTAAACTACAAGCAGGGAGGTCATATTCTCCCTAAGGGATTACCAATGTGTTGTCACAGTTTGCTGAATAGGCTACTGGGACAAAAGCTTGCTCACTGGGACAGTGTGGCTGTGACTGTTCGACATTTAACCCATAAAGGCCATTAGTTGGGGGCCCATGGAGGTGCAATGATCTTGGGAAAGTCAGGAACTGATTTTTATGGAATGTTGAGGAATGGTAGAGACTTTCATGCTTAGATAATGAACAAAGTTTTGGCGCAATTGAATGAAGCATTTTGTAGATATGGTCACTAATATAAATGTATTCCACACTTCCATCTACGAGGTTTGTCGGGTGCCCGGCGTACAAAATGTGACTTTTTCACGAATATTACAGCTAATTTGTATGGAATGTGTCAAAACGTTGGCAAGACATCAGTGTACAAACTCATAAAGGCTCTGCATGAAAATCTTGTTTAGCAATGATATCAGGAAAACATGTACAGGAGGTGATTCATTTGCACGTACCCCCCCCCCCCCCCCGGTCCATATCATGCATACGACAAACCAGACTTAAATTCTCAAATACCTTTACTTACTCATTTAATGTCAGGTCGAGCGTGATTTCTTCCGCGCCAACTTGCAGCACAAATGTCGCTTCTTTTAGATGCCCAGCCTGCAAATGACCATCAAAAAATAATTTCATTAACTTTTTTTCAGTCTCAAATTATGCAAATGTCTACGGCTTACTTCAAGGCTTCAAGTGCAGGGAGTAGCTGGGCTACTGTATTCCATATGTGTTCCACACATATGTGTTCCGTAACTTAGGCCCATACAATGTAATTCGTTATTATGCAATCCTTGAAAATGCACCTCTGTGTCCCATTTAACCTTATTTTCATTTTGCCATTTTCAAGGGTATTTTGGCGTCTTTTTGTTTTTTTATGCTAAGGCCAATTTCCATATTTATGAGCACAAGTGTGATGTCATTTCAGGTAGAAACCTCCATGCTACTTTTATTTTCTATACATGGCAGTAGGCGAATGAGCACATTTTCTCACAATTGTTTTCAAGGAGCAAATTTTTGGGTTAACAAGTTGAACAGAAAGCCCCTGAACTGAACAGTGTCTGCCTGAAATGACATCACAGCAATGTACAAATTAAGTCCTCAGTTCTCCGGAAAAGCACGGAACCTTTTTAAATGTTTAAAGAAGCACTTGCACTTTTCAAAAATTAAACAAAAAAAGAGGTGTCAAGTAGTTTTCATACATTTACATGTAAGAGGAAAAGGTTGCACAAAATGTGTTCCTATTAAAGACAACGTCATCTCACGGACCCCACATTTACCGGTAGCATGCAAAACTATATTGCTGATTAAGTTCATATGATGATTCGTGATTGGCTGACTAATTGATTGTGTAGATATCGTTTACCATAGGCTTGCAATAAAGATAAAATGGTATCTCTGCTATTATACCAATTGGAACATTAAGTCTTAATCAAGGAAGCCTGATTGTACTATGGGACATTGCCTATCTACATGTACATGTACAGCGTGTGTCAATAAAAACGCAGGATTAGAAACAAAAATATTAAGTATATAAACCACCCCTATTCATCATAATGTTAACCCTCTTTTCAAAGTACCTTTCCTTCTCTTCACTATGCTTTTTATCCCATCTCATTTGGACAATCCTGTCCAGAGATTGAGTACATTGAAGAAGGGTTATAAATTCTGGTTTAATTGTCTTCAATGCATACCTGCATTGTACATAACTGGTTGTTGTGTTAAGGTCATTGAATCAGACCAACCCGCTTCAGAAGGGCTTCACAAAACTTGTCATAACTTTTGAACCAAAAGTCCAAATTCCACCAAACAAAAATCTTGTCAAAGATGAAATTATGGACAATCAAATCCTTATCAAATTAGGCACACCAGTAGCATAATTTTCTCAGAAAAAAAATCGCTTTGAATCCTGCGTTTTTATTGACACACGCTGTAGTCTGTAGTCCAGTTAGGAACACCATGCTTTGTCCCTATAAAATGTTATCAACCAGGCAGGGTAAGGAATATAAAGGGCAACCCACTGACTGAGTGAATGTGCACATATACAATGCCTGGCATTCGGGAAGAGACAAGAGCCTTCATTATTAGTGACAAATAAGGCAATTGTTTAACAGGATTGGTTTACAGATAGGGCATTGTTTCCGACCCAGTGGTGGGATGTGTGTTCCTTACTCATTTCCTGTTCTATGAATTGAAAACCACTTTACACGGCTTATACCACTTTTCTGCAGGTCCCAGAGGGCCAGCCTATAGTCCTCATATTGTCAGACACTTGTAATTTGTAAATTAGACAAATTTGCTAAAATCTCACCTTGGCCCACAAGTTTGAAATAGGATTGTAATCAGTGTTGTAGTAGAGTCCATCACAAGTCCCTGCAAGTCCATCACAAGTCCTTCATTCTCAAGTCAAATCATTAGCTATTTTCAACTTAACTGTGACGAACGCATTCCTTTGTCACTGTTCATCATGTTTCTTATGACTGGACTTATAAAAGGACTTGTTAAAGGACTTGTGATGGATTCCACTACAACACTGCCTGTATAATAAATGGCAATGATTGGGTTAAATTGTGTCTATATACCAGATGCATGAAAAGACTTCAGTAATGAATCAATTGAAAAGAATTGTATGCACTCTGGGACCAGCTTTCCCAGGCTTGCCTTGTTTTGTTTCAAGAAGAAGTGCATGAGGGCTCAAATCTTGAACCCTATTGCAAATTTGAAAAGTACTCCCCATAGAATGAGTGTTCCATGGTAGCATGAAAACAAACAGAATCAAGAGCAACTCAAGTAGACCCAAATACTGAGTTTGTTTGTTTCAAACTGGCCAATTTGTTCGTATTAGTTTTCCATTGACCACACTGTGGAGTTGTTCTGAATGATATGACTGCAACTGTCAATCTTATCTGTTTAATCGCTCCTACTTAATTGTTTCAAATGTCAAACTTCATTAAAAATTTCAGAATAATTTAGTTTGGTGTGACCTTGGAATGCCAGCCTGAAATGTGTGTAATTTAAACACGCTTACACGTTGTTACAGCTTTCATTATTCTTTCAGGGTTTTTCCTTTTGTTCATGTTTAGACTCGTATGTTAATAGCTACAGGTGTTTCGGACATTCCTGGGGTTTTGTTTGCTATAGCATTATAGTATCTTTCGTTCACACACAGAGTCATACATGTATGGTAAAATTGGACAATTAAATGAACAAACACAATTTTGTGAAGTCGCAATAACAATTCAACAAAGCCTTTATTTGTTATGTCGAACTGTTATTTCATTCTCAGAAACCCATAGCCAGACTGAGTCCAATTCCGGGAAATGACCTCATATACAATGTACACTATTGTCAGCTGACAAAAACTAATCAGAGCAGAAGTGCACGCTTCATTTAGTCTGAACGTTTGGACTCACAGCATACGTACAGCACAGAGTCAAAACCATCTAATATGGTGTCTCAATACTTGACTGCCAGAGTGTTCCTCTAGGGGGCACTGTGTGTATCAATTTCAGCGCTGCTGTTGAAAAGTGAGATCACGGATATAAATTATCAGAAGTAGAGGAATCGAAAATGGCTGTAGCATGCTAAGATTACCCTGTGCTGAGGTTGCATGATAATCAACAGATCCAAAATCTCTGTGTTGGACCTGGCACACTAAGAGAAAAAATATGTACAATGTAAATGAAAAAAAATGTGGACAAATTGTTCCAGCACAAGGAGTTTAATGAGAGCGATAATCTCAAACTTTTGGGTATGGCTAAAAAAAAGAAAGAAGACAACCATGACAATACATTAATTGTAATCCTCACAATTAACACATAGGCTATTACATTAGTCTCCGTTCCGCCCAAACTGCTCCACCTATTCCTCCCTGCATGTACCACCCTAAAGTGCCCCAACTCTTTATTGTCTTACAATGTAGAACAACTACATTGTGAGTATTACTTAGTAAAATACATTTGACTGCAATGTGATGTAATGTTGCATACTGCGCCTGTAGATTTGGGTCAAATTCTAGAGAGCCAGGCTTCTGCCAAGTGCCAGGCTAAAAAATGCAGCATGATCCTGTGGGATGAGTCTTATGTATAATTTGGATTCAAATACCTTTCTGCCATCACATTTGTTTACACTGAAAACCTTTCAATTCTCAGGTGTACAGGTCTAGAGTACACAGAATACAAATTTTATTTTATGAAGAAAATGGATTCACTGTCACAGAGGTCAAGAGGTGAATACAATGTACCTCGTCAACAAAAAAGTGTGGGGGTGGAAACAATTGTGAAAGTCTTGACCTCATCACATTTCCTCATCAATTGTGATTTAAATTCAAAGTTGGGTCTGCCATTCACTGATTGTATTTTATAAACACTCAGTATTGCCCCACAGAAGTGATTGTGAGAAAAAAAATTCACAAACTACATGTACACCGGTGCATGGGACTCAAGTAATTTTTCTCACAATCACTCCGGACAACGCAGAGTATTCATAAAAATGTGTCAGTGAAGGGCAAACCCAATGGTGAATTTACATCACCCGGATGCAAATTTCATCTTCTGAAAAATTGTGATACAGAGTAAAAACTATGGTTCTGTCACAAAAGGCTTTCTTGTCAGCCCATAAAAATAACTTATTACATGTATTTTGAATTTGTTAAAATATAGATTGTTCACTATACGATGACAGTTTAATATTTTTAATGGACTTTCCTTGGCAAATTATTTAAATAGGAAGTTTGTGATGGGTGAAAACCAAAGAAATTGCCTGTTAAATTGGTTTTTTTTTTTGCACTTTAAATGCATTTCTTGGTACACCTCTTTATAAAGGCCGATTCACATTTTACACAAAAACGAAAGTGAAGTAAATCTGATGTCAGGAAGCAGTCGCTGCGAAATTCACAAGAACTGAATTAATACGCTCAACTTTTACAAATTCACAGCGAGAATACTTGGCATGACATCACATTTTAGACATGTTTAAGATTACAAATTTATTAAAAAATGACAAATCCAAAATAAAACACACTCCCCACTTAATTTTTCATCATCATTTCAAGCCTTGCTTAGAAGCATCTGGCTTTGTAAGAACAGGTCACGATTTCTCAAAAGACGTCAGTACACAAACTACATGGCAGGAGCATAAGATGCAGGTCTACAATGTCTGTCATGTCTATTGATGAGAGGTCAGATGAGGCTTGAGGGGAAAGGTCACAGCCACTTGGCCATTAGCTTAATCACTGACTCTCAACTTGGACTCTAGAGACAGCCCACAGTTCCATTAGAAAGGAAATATTATTTTTACACATCTTGATTTTATACTTGGACTACAGTACTGAGCCAATTGAGCGAACATAAAAAAGTTTCATGCTAGACTAAATCAGTTCTAGGAGAACAAATTTAAGTTCGTGAGGTTTTGAGGAAATGAAGAAATTTATATATAATGAAACAATCAATTTTGGTAGGGGCGAAATAGCGCTGCTGAACATTCTCTAAAATACATGCAGCTACATGTACATGTACGTACTGATAACATTTTACATGAATTCTATTTTTGTGCATGGTAACTAAATGTTAAGGACATGGATACACATGTAGTACATACATGTACATGAACATGTACATATATACAATTTCTTTTTTGTTTGTTTGGGGGAGGGGATAGAGGGTAAGCCTTGACGAAAATTCTCACTGAAAATAAATATGTACCGCAATAACCCAATGTCTTTAGATGCCGGCTTAACCCTAACTCACCTCATTCCTCCAAAACCAACCAGGCAGTTTTCAAGGAGTTTTGAGGATTGAGGCTGAATGGCAAAACAGTGTCCATTGATTTCCAACAATGTACTGTGTCAAGGTCTTGAGGCATTTCTAGGTCACACGTATTTGTACCATCAATCCTACTGGTATATTACTAACGTTTAAAAAAAATGACTGCACTGCTATTGTACAGAGATCTTATCACAAGCAAAAAGGGTTGGCCAATAGGTTCATGTGTGGGTTAATAGTCTGAAGTGAAGCTTCCTGAGCACACAGAGTCTAGAGCACTGTCCTTCTGTCCACTTTGGACTTGCAGATCCGCTGGACAGACGGACATTTACCACTTCCAGGAAATATGGCTCCAGATTGATAAGGAAGATAGGTTTTGTGGACAAGATGAAGAGGAATGAGTTCATGAACTGATGGACTTATTGTGGATTTGAATAAAAGAAATTACTTTTTTTTTTAAATGACCGAATTCAGGGGGTTTTTTTACAGGAAATTTGAAAAGAAAGTTTTGTGATTGTAGTAAACAGGGAATACAGTATTTTCCCATACATTTTTGTAGTTTGTACAAATTATAACACTAACCTATGAGATCTACAATGTAATAAGGCTTGATTTTTTTGTGCTATCAAAACTCAGTTTTTCATGTACACAGTGAGTTTTGATAGTGCAAAAAAAAAAAATGGCAAGCACTTATTAATTAAAGGTAGCATCCATCATTTGTAATTTGTGCATTATGATTGTTTGAAGCAACAAAAGTGCTCAAATTCTAAATATATGGGTGCTGAACAACTAACCTGATGAAATTTCAGCTCAGTGAATGATGTACATTTTATATTCCGAGAAAACAATATTCTAGGATCTTGATTTCAAATCAAAAGTTGCCGAATCATGTTTTGAATTGGGCCTGAATTCAGTGTCCAAGAGACTTTCTCACTGAGCCGATTGCAGCTACGCGATGCCGCACACTGATCCGACTAATTATAGCAACCGTGCGTGCGTGTGCCTCATGTCAACACTTGCGTGCGCTTCGCCGAATGAAAAACGAACTACTAATGGAAATTTCTAAGAATGCGTCTTAAGATGCATCGTTGGAAATGGCCTTCTTTCATCAATTTCTTCAAAATTACAGCTTGTCAGAAAGAACAATTTCACAGTGAGTTTAGTCCCATTACTATCTTTAAACCAAGTATACTTTTCAACAATAATTACATCACTTACTTTTTGGATAGCTGCAAATGATGGACTGTACCTTTAATCAATATGTCTGTGATCACTGTACCGTATGTGTGTGTTCCATTTTAGTATACTGCATCAATTACAAAGATACTACACGTGTACATTTGTACTGAAGATTGCAAAACAGCCACACAAAAAAAAACTGGCTTAATAACCCTCAAAGGAATCAGAAATGCTCATGATGAAGAAACTCAATTTAAAACATCCATGCGGCCTAATTTAGGTCGGTTGATTTGTGAGTCATCTTTCCCTGAAGGAAAGTCTTGCGTTAATTTAGGCAATGCCCAAATAAGGGCCAGGTGTACGCATCACACTGTGGAATAGACACCAGATGTAAAAGCTATCCACACTACATGTGCAGTATATTATCTTTTTTCGTCCTGTACTGCATTTTCATTATAATTTAGGGTTCATTTTATTAGACACTGCATTTTATCCCAATTTCCCCTAATGCACAATGTATGCATTCACAATTGGGCAAGAATTTGTAGTTTGTCATCAACAACTGAGGAGTCCGCTAATGTTACCCACATGGAAACCCTGGGTCAGACAATCTGTGAATCATGGGAGAGGGTCATCAATTGTACAATCCAAAAACAGCTCCTTGATACTGCCATGGTTACAAGAACCATGCAGCCATGAATCATAGTGCTTGACTATGGAGAGTTTTTGAGGCATGGTTTTAACAAGAAGATAGTTTTAACAAGAACGGTACATGAATGTGAGAAAGATGACATGTACAGTTGTATTTGGCAATGAATTTTGTTTTACTCAATGTCATCATGACAATGTATACGATAGCTCCCTTTTCGGTTTCATTTCAATTTTTTTAAAAGGTTTTTTTTATCAGCCAAGTCTTCGTGTCAGCCACCTGTTAATTGGTACATATGTAAGATGCCAACAAGTTTCCACTCCCTTGCCCCCCCCCCCCCACACCACCCAGGGCAGATTCAGAACCAAATTTTCAGGGGGGGGGGGCCAAGAGGGCTCAAGTAATTTTTTTCAAAAAGGGTAGGGGATTAAGTAATCATGCGCAATTTCCACATTGTAATATTGAAACTAAAAGGTATTTGTACATGTAGCTGATGGCTTGCAAGTGAAACGTTTTAATTTATTTCCTGAAAATTAAAGACAAAAATGTGTCTTCACTCCGACAAAAAATTGCTTTGGCCACTGTTGCCCACTCCCCCCCCCCCTCCCCCGATCTGCCAATGCCCCCCCCCCCCCACCATTAATAAACGTATACCTCTGTCAGAGTGTCTGTATCCCTTCGTTGACGCCCATCCAGCCGGTAGGGTATCGTGATGTCATAATCGGTTAATTTCCCAAGCTGCTTTGCTCGTCCTGTCCGATAACTCCATTCTGCCAGAGATAAGAAAAATGGACAGGAAATGAGAAAAATAAGGCAACAATTGGTCGCTGATAAACTATGAAAGAAAACCATGGGCAGTCATTAGTTTGATTTACTAATTAGCCCTAGGGGAAACAAAGAAGAAGACAATTTAATAAGAAGAGAAGTCCGAAAACCAGACTCTCAATCCTGCGCGCCCAAACAATTAGGAAAATAAAATCCTACAATTCAAGAAACATTCATGTCACCTGAGACTACTAAATTTGGTCCTTCTTTTCAAGAAAAAAAAGTTGTGCACCACTTCACAACCCAGAGACAAAATCTGCACATTCACTTTGATTTTCAAAACTTACTAACTAGAACTGTCATGACCTTAAAATCAAGTGATTCCATACTTTTTTCCAGTAGAGTTCCATACCTGGATATCACTTGAAGTTGATACCCTGTGAACAAAACCTATGAGACTGGTCGGAAAAAGTCAAAGCATTTTCTCAGTACAAGCTTCAATATTTTCTCTGCTAACATTTACGTTTTAGGACATGTTACCGCTTTCTGATGGCTGATAGGTCACTTGACTCTTCAGGAACAAATAGCAATGTCCATGTAGGGAATTAGCCTCTGTACTGATGACGTCACACTTTGTTTACGTGTGTGCTTTCCTATGGTGCTCAGTGGACCGTGGGCCCCCACTGGCTCCATAGGAAAGTGCACATATGTAAACAAAGGGTGACGTCATCAGTACAGAACTTATTCTTCCCCCTTTTTCTTTGCTTCAATGGTAACAACCTTTGTACTGACAGTGTTGCCAATTGATACTGCACACAAATTGAATACAACGGTCCTGTTCCACATGGATAAACCATAAAGTTAGTTTTGCAGGTTTTTTTTTTTCAGATGCAATGCATTCTATGATCGAGTCAAGGTGAAACTTCACGTTTCCACCATTTTTCTGGGAAAAATCTTCATCTTCACTTTAAGTTAAGAGGAAATCATTTCAAGCAATCTGCAGGAATCTGTTGTTACATGTAAAATGTTTACATTTTCTAATATGGACCAAATATGGACAAATAGTTATTTCAGTGAACAATTTAATGTTTTTAAATTTCATCCAGGATTCCAAATACTTGAAGAGTTTATTTCCAAAATGCAATATAGCTATCTGAAAAAAGGGAAAAAGTTGCACATTTATGAAAACTGTAAAGCTATAGAACATAGCTCTTACGAAACTACGTTTTTCTCGTCTCTTGTTCATATGGTATATATAAACCAGCCATCCAAAATTGTTTACACTGCCCAATAGAATCCAAGGACAAACATGACAAACAGTTTTGTACATAAGTGCATGCATGATGCATTACTCACGTTAGTCCCACAGCACAAATAATGACAATTCAGGCTTGCAGAATGCATCATATGGGTCTACATGTATTACTCTCTAGATGCATGTGTAAAGGAGCATTTGTGGAAAAACTGTGACGGACTGATTTGTCAACAGTGGTGGTGCACGATATAGACAATATTTTCAACAATCATTCCTGTATCACTGCCTCGACCGGTATCCCTAATCTTGACTTACATGCTAAGGCCACAAAAATATATATATCTGCTTCCGATTACATGGCATTTGAAAATAGGGTAGGTAAGTAGGGACACAAATCTACATACTGTGCACATAAAACACCTTGAAAATTTGGAGTTTTGTGCAATGGTTGAGCATGGCAGAACAGCCGGAAGTTTCAACAATTTCTCTGTGAATGTGTGAGTTCCAGCGACCAAAACCTCTAACATATGGATAGTACTGTAGGCCTACTACCGTACGTGTAGTAGACAATTAATAGCACTATGATCTACAGATGAAGTTGCATTGTGCTCTTTAACCAGTTCAATTTTCTTTTTATTAATACATTTTCACCTTATATATTTGTCCAACAAAAAAAAAAGGTTTTTTTTTCCCTTTTTGGAGCATCTGCAACCCTCTGAAAAAAAGGTTTTAATTTATTTTACGTAGCTCAGACTGGTTCCCTGTCTGTACATACCGGGGCAGTACATTATAAATACTGAATGTGGGGCACCACCTAGCCTACACTGTGAGAACAGAAATATTGTCGGGCCCCAAAATCACACCACGAGAACTATTAATTTACACATTTTGAATTAGTGAATTAGTTTTATAATGCTAAAGGAAAGGATGTTGCATCCTGGCGCCACTTTTTGCATTATATATTATCTCAATGAAGGTCAGTCATTGCAAAAATGTTGAAAAAACATGAATCTGGGACTGAGAAACATTTCCAATTTTGCTTGAAAATACTTTGAAAATGATTTTGTCTTTACTTTTTACATGTTCATCTTTTAGAAGCAGTACTGGCACCATAATTTATCATTTGCCATCTGTCATTGCTTGAGTCTTTTAATTTTATTATAATACAATTATAATATAATTTTATTTTATTCTATTTTCCAATGACTCAAATTTATTGTACAATCATAAAGATATTAATGTTCTAATGAATACTGTAAATTCCAAATAAGTTAAGGTATCAAGGGCGGATCCAGAACACAATTTTTTTTTGGGGGGGGGGGGCCAAAAAAAAATTGTGTCTCCCAAAAAGTGGGTCGAAAAATTACGGCGCGGGGTTCGGGGCCCGCTTAAGGGTCCCGAAATTTGTTTGGATTCTCGATGCTCTGTGGTGCGATCTGAGGCAATTTCTGATGTTTTTTGAGAAAAAGATGGTGGTGTACTCATTGCCTGCCTTTATTGCGACGTCACATAAAACAACAATTGGTTTCGTTTTTGGGGGGGGGGGGCATGGCCCCCTTTGGCCCCCCCCCCCTGGATCCGCCCTAGTAAGGTATCAGACTGGATATCAGACTGAGATTTATGTCTCTCAACTAAGATTATCATTAAATATTTATGATTTTTACACCTTTCAGCTCGACATTTTCAGGCATCAATTATCTCAGAATGTTATTCCAAAATATCTTGCTTCTGGTTTTTTTTCTAGAAACAGCATAATTCATTCTCATTCAACCCAGCAATTTGCCCATTACCAACTTCCCAATTTTCATTCTCCCTCAAAAAGCCACTCCCTTTCAAGGTCCCAAGCTGTGGAATTCCCTTCAGCGACCCCTGCTAAATCTACTAAAATATTCAAAAGTCTTTCAAGCCATTCCTTTCAAAACAATAAGCCTAAGCCTCATTCCAAATATCATTATCTTGTCCTATTTTAATTGCATGTGCTTCAATGAATTCTATTACTTTTTTTATTTTTTATTTAATTTTTGACAAGTGCTCCTTGTTCACTTTACCATTGTAAATCAATTATATCTTGTTCAGTTCAATTTTCACTTTTTACTAAATTTTACTTTTATCTACCACTCAGAGGTGTTTTTGATTAATGTTTGCAATAATTTCACTTATTACTGAAATTTGTTTTTCATCTATTTTTGTTATTGACCGACCTCATTTCAATATTGTTATTTGGAAAAAAATGTTGCAACCTGATACCACTTCCGCGATTGTGTACAAGGTCTATGGAGAGTCAAGAAAATTTTCTACGTACATATATTGTATTTCCTAACAAAATTGGAAATGTACTCAGTCCCAGATTCATGTATTTTATATCATCATTTTTACAATGAACATGATGAATGACCTTCATTGAGATGATACATGTATATGAAGAAAAGTGGCATCAGGTTGCAACATTTTTCCTTGTTATTTCTAAACTAAACACTTGATTTATAGGTTTTTCCCATTGTAGTTATAACTCAAGCGTCACATACCCCTACAAACAAACTAAAAATTGTTTGACGGCCTTCCAGTTCCATCTTCACATACTATAGGCCTAAAAGGCTAAATAGTATCAGGATCCATGCCCACAAAGCTTAGCTTATTTATGATTTCGCATCTCTATAAATTGCATTTATCATCTGCTTATTACTTTGTATACTTGTACTTACTAAGTAGTAAGAGATGAAATAAAGTTCAATTCAGTGTACCCATACCAATGCAGTTTCACAAGCGTGTATAACTCCAAGGCGACCACTAAGACATGCTGTGGGCGGACACGCGTGACAGGGCTTTACCGACGATCTGGTTCCATTTACCGGCAACGCCGACCGGCCGGCGCGGCCGCCAAGGCACCGCTCTCTCTTGGACGGAATTAGAGTCACTTTTGATAATATATCACATAAGAAATGACAGTGTCTCACTCACCTGATAACGGTTGCAAATTTAGGTTTAGTCCTTCAGTGATTGTAAATTGAGATATGTACAAAATAAGAAGAAGAATAGTGAGGAATTCTTGCCACGACATTTTTCTCTTGAGATCGTGTACACATGTACGTATGGGACGTACAGTTGTGTACGTGCGTACGTCCGTCCGGGTCGTATGACTATGATCGGAAACTGGGTATCATTTTGTACAGTGACTGATGAAACACAATAGGGCGCCTTCAGCTGTTTGGCTTTGCACAACTGAATCTGCTTTTTACCTATCCAACGCCAGGGGCGCCCTTCGCCATAGGCAACTACGTCACGTTTCACTTTTTCAGCGAAAGTCCGATCTTCCCTAATCATACTCTAGCTCGCTCAAGAGCCTACTCATCGATTGAGGGCGCTAGCAAATAAATGTGGAGGCACATTGGCCCTAGACATGAAGCTTTTATTTTTGCCCATAACGGTTCTCTTATAATTATCGATTTTGTTCTCTCCTAAACGAATTCGTTCAGTTTCCATGTTACACAAATTTTCGAGGACGTCTCTTTAGTCCAAAGTCCCATTGGTCCGACGGCCCATTGGTCCGAAGTCCCATTGGTCCGACGCCCCTATAGGCTTAGGGTTAGGGTTAGTCAACCTGAACAAGTGGAACTACACAGTATTATGTTTCGGACCAATGGGACTTCGGACCAATGGGACTTCGGACCAATGGGACTTCGGACCAATGGGACTTCGGACCAATGGGACTTCGGACCAATGGGACTTCGGACCAATGGGACTTCGGACCAATGGGACTTCGGACCAATGGGACTTCGGGCCAATGGGACCTCGGACCCATGGGACTTCGGACTATCGAGACGTAACCAAATTTTCAACTTCTATGTTTTATTCCAATCAAAACAATTTTTTTTGACGTTTAGTCTACAAAACATCTGAATTTGTTTGTTTTGGGTAGAAAAAGATCAGCTTTATGCGCAGACTGCCCTGGCTCGGTCCGTACATTTTCGATATTGATTGTGGGGAGGGAACCGTCCTACTTCCCCGCGAGAACGTAAGTATTGTCGAAATTGTAAAGTAATAATTCAATAACTAAACATAGGCCGTTTTTTTCCGGTCGATTTCTCTTTCAAAGTGAATAACTTCTGTACATTTCTAGCAAAATAGCGAAAAGAAATCTATTTGAGTGAAGAAACTCGAAAATAGTACGGGGAATAAAACAGGGGCGTACTTATCATCACTTGTTAAATCTGCGGTTTGGCTTTTGCCGGTTTTGTCCCTGCATGAAGAAATGCGAATCTCTACAACATCCCATGTTCGGAGGAACTACCTGACCTTGTGTAGAGTCTATAACACATATCTGAGATGTAGGGTGTTGACTAGTAGCAACAGACCCCCCCCTTCCCCCAAGAGGTTGTCACATTTTTTTTTTTTTCAATTTTGTTTTACTCCCACAATTTGACAGCGTGGTGATTTGTATGTTGCCTAAAATGTAGTATAATAGGGGTGTAAATGGCACCACCAACGTCAAAAAAGTCCGCCCCCCCCCCAAAAAAATAGGAATTTGTTTGTGAGTCCCCCACCAAAGCCAAATCCTGGGTGCACCAATGGCTAGTACATGTACTACCACCAGACAGAACAAAAGTCTTGATTTGCAAGAAAGAACACGATGGTACTCAGTCTGCTTATGATGCCGACACTTGCTTCTAAATAAGGAAGCCATCTTCTACTATGCATATGATCAGTTATTTGCCTCTGCCAGTAATGAAGATTGGGCCCGGTTAACATCTTTTCTTGCTGCAGATAATGCAAGCAAATCGCACGGTTCTGCTCGTCGCAACAAGGTGCAGGGTATACCGCCCTCTTGCGTCAGGTGAGGAAACGCAAGATGCAAGAGAGCGAGCGAAGGGAAAAGGGGGGGGGGGGGTCGTGGGAAGTTGGTTGGAGCCCCATATGAAACGCCCAAACTTTTGTTTATCAAGTGTGGGTGCAGTGTTGTGGGTATCTTTCTTTTACACATGGGATCGCATACATCGGGTGCCACAAGTCCCACACCCAAACCCAAACACCACCACCAGAAAGACCAGCCCGAGACCTATGACGTGACGCTTTGTCATGTGCGCTTTCTTATGTGGTATGGTAGACGGTCCCTGCTTCATCTGGCGTCCCAACTTTGCTCCCATAGGAAAGCGCATATGTAAACAAAGCCATTAGGTCTTAGGTCTATTAGGGAAAAAATGAATAACATCATTAATTTTCCTTAAGCAACATCTCAAGTAACTTGCTGGGTAAACAATCAATGTCATTTTTTTCTCGGTTTTCTAGACTGAAAAAAATATATATACATTTTTGGAGTCTGACTTAGAATATTTCACTGTTTCACATAATTCTTCAAATTGCCTCTCAGATCAAATGTAAAAAGATCAAGATGTAGAATGACTATCGTGCATATCATGCATTCAACACAAACAAACTGACAAGCTGACTAACGGAAGAAATTGTTTCCATTATTTTTGTATTAATGTATACTTTCTTTGGCATGACATTATACTGGGAGAATACTGTACGATATTATTTACAAAGTTTTTTTTAATTATTATTATATACAAACTACATTTGTTTTTGCCACTGTAATTCAGCCTTGTTAAGACTTTTACGATGACCTTGAACTTCGATCAGAGGTCAACTATAAAATCAAAGACTGTTACCCTTCACAAATAAACTTTCCATTTCTAAGATCTAACAAGACTTAGAAACAAAACACCAAAACCCTTTCTGTTTACCCCAAGATCAGCTAGGTCGCAATAACTTTTACAAATGTTTTGTTTTCCTGTGAGTTGCAGCTTTTCCAAACTTTATAACGCTTGACAGTTGCATTACCTTTTTTTGGCTGATGGATGTTAAAACCAAAAGGTTTAAAGTCAACCATGAAACCTGTTAATCAGATTTTTCAACTTGACGTTTAAAGTTTCGTCATTGCTTCCCTAGTATACCCCAGCTCCACTATGAAGTAAAATAACAATTCTTATAGACCATGCATCACCTTTAACTACTTGTACACGTATTTCACTAAGATCTCAAAGAAGCTGGAAATGTGGAAATGGAAATGGCTTATCCACAACTTTCACTGTGCAAAATGTTAGCCCAAACATTTCAGCTTCAGGCAGACAGCAGTATTTCAAGATTGCTATTAGTGATGCATGTTCCCAATGAAAAACACAAACATACATAGTATGTATTTGTCTTCAACAAGTTTACAACTGTCAAAAAACAACTAAATCTATGCGTTATAGCAATTTCTACACTTTGAAACTTTGGGAGGAAAAAATGTCTGTGACATAATAACGTGTGTGACCAACCAGTTGGTGCTACACACATATAAAAATAGCACCAATGACCAAAAAACACTGATACATTTTAATAAGATGATGGTCCCAATGCGTAAAAGGGGTTCATCTTACATAGGTGGGAATTTGCTTCAACAACTATTCTCATATTTTATGGCATGTCCAATGATTGATTTTCATCCATACCAAACTCACACGAGAACATCAAAAACCAGACAGTATGCACCAAATCTATTTAGTTTAAATATAAAAAAATCTTTGTATACAATTGAGAAAACACCCATCACTGTAGGTGGTTTTCAAACAAATATTTAGCCAAAACCAAATGTTAATATCTTCCAAGTAAAAACCAAACCCCCCCCAAAAAAATCCATCATGTTTTAACACCAAATTTAACGACTAAAATGTCTGTAAGTAACAAGACAAAATATTCTTAATGATAATAAATTACAATAATTTGTTCAAGCATTTTAAATGCAAACTTAACAAATACACCTACATGCAAGAGAAACTGGAGAAAACACCAACTCCAAACTCAGAAGCAAAAATGAAAAAAGAAAATCATAACTTTTTTTCAACAAAGGAGCCCTTTAAACAGATGGTATATTGAAAGACTCAATTATAAGCCATTTTGAACTCTACAGAGAATTTCAAACAGATATCAAAATTGAATGAAATTCTGAAACATTCTCTACTGCTTACATGTTGATCATGCACTAGTATTTTCACATTTTAGTGTTACATTTTTTTTGTCTTTATTATATCTAAATGTAATTATATCAGTGACAAATTCAACAATTAATGTCAATAAAATGTCTTTTTTTAATGTATTTTTTGGGTACTTTTGTTTGAGTATTATATACATCTGTCACTGTCAAATGAATTGGTGTACATTTACGCACATGTATAATGATTGTTTACATGAAGGTACACAGTTTCACAGAAACCAGTTCTCTAATTATGGGCAGAAACAACAAAAGCCTTTTATCTACATGTTCGTGCAGCAATAAGAAAGTAACTATTTCTGTTAACTGTTTTTTGCCTGTTCTATGGGTGGGTGATTTTCACATATAAAACAAGAACATACATATTTCTGTCAGGCACAGTGTTTTTTCTTTCTTTCCTATTTTAAGGAAAAACATGTTAAAATGTGAAAAATACACTTTATATGCTTTGTAACAATGTACATTGCACTAATAACCTACAAGAACGAAATAACATCAATTAAAGAGAACAAATCTAAAGTCATTTTCAAAAACACCAAACAATGCCAAAAACCTGCAAACGATTTAAATGTGCAACATTTCCGCGTATGGAAACTTGCTGGCTAGAACAAAAATGTGAACATTGAAGAAACTTTTTCATTCAACACCAATGAAACTAACAAGAATGGCACTTTCTTATTAATAGTCATAACACAGTGATCCAATGGGCACTGGCCAAACAAATCCCATTTCAGTTTGGTGTGGAAACAGCAACGTGCATCCCACCAAAACTGGGTTATGAAAATATCAAAAACAATTGAATTAAATGGTGCATTCTCTGTACAGTAGTAATATTTGCATGGACCCCCCCCCAAAAAAAAAACCCCCACAAACAGAACTCTGTGAGCAAAGTATTCAGCTCTACCACACTTCCAAGTGTGACACCCAATCTTACAAAAAGTAATTTTTGAAAAATTTAGTTGGATGTTATTCGAAAACAACACCTTAATCCTTTTTTTGTTCTGGTAACAATAACACAGATGTTAACACACACACACATATAAAGAAATCTTTGGAAAGGAAGAAAACGACCAAATCTACAAATAAATATACCTACAGCTGCCTCTCCTTGCATTGCTAA